GCCCAATGCAGGCTTGCTTTGCTTGCTTCGCTGCGAGAAGTGTGAAAAATTATTTGGCAAGCGTTTTGTAGGCTTTTGACAAAGAGGTATATTCCTTTCAAAATACATAAATTCAAACGAAAATTTGCTTACTTAATTTAAAAAAGTCACAGAAAATGCAGGTAATCCGAAATGAAATAAAAATGATTCATTGTTTCCATATTTATATTTAACATATCGTTATCTTATAGTAAAAAGTCGCAAAACCCAGTTTTACAATTTTTACACGAGAGGAGAAAACGTCTTCTAGCCTTTTCTTCAAGTAAATCGCTTTTTTAAGTTATAGTTTTTTTTAGTAAATGTAGATATAGATATGTGTCGGCCGCTGTGGTGTAGTGGTAAGCAGTGCGCGCTTCCACTCCGCAACGCCTGGGTTCAAGCCCTGGTCAAAGCAACATCGCAAAAAAATATAGAAAAAAGGTTTTTTCTTAACAGCGGTCGTCCCTCGGCAGGCAATGGCAAACCTCCGAGTATATTTCTGCCATGAAAAACAGCTTCTCATAAAAAAATACAATCGCCGTTCGGAGTCGGCGTAAAACTGTAGGCCCCTCCGCTTTGTGTGACAACTTCAAGGCGCACGCCACAAATCGGAGGAGAAGCTCGGCCAAACACTAACATATGTGTAAGCGCCATTCTATTATATTATTATTAGATATAGATATGTATGTATCATTATTATCATTTCTTTTAAATACAAACATTATTTCGCATTAATTTAAAAATAAATCTGAAAGTTTTTGATACATTTTTTTGAGTTTTCTAGGAAATAATTATTAACGTTAAGGGAACAGACATTGACTTTTCAACCAGACAGCCGGTTACTTTGACAGCGTTCCAAGCCACCATTCGGCCAAGCAAGTTTTGAAAGTAAATCAAAGCAAATTGAAGTCAGCAAGGCGCGCAAAGCAAGCCTGCATTGGGCCAGCGCCTTAAGAATATCAAAGCTTTCAAAGTGTCTCGAAAGTATCAAAGTGTTCCGAAAAACAAATAAAATAATCAGCAAAACGCAAAAAAAAGTGAAGAATTCAAAAAAATCTTAAAAACACTACCAATCATCGAAAACTTCGGAAAACATACCGCAAGTCCTGAAATGTTCCGGAAAATAAGCAAAACTAGAAAATAAAAAACGTGGAAAACAGAAAATATCAGAAGAAATACTAAAAAAGAAAAACTAAAATATACTGAATATTCGAAAAATATTTCCGATAAAATAATAAAAAAGCATGAAGTACTGTGAAAAGTGCAGAAGAATAAAAAAAAATCCGAAAAATCTCGCAAAAATAAATGAATCAGGAAAAACCTAACACGAAGCATAACTTAAATAAGACAAGTAAATTTTCGAGAACATACTAAAAAAGGGCGAGGTATTCTTCTGAAAGTCCAAAGGCGTGCAAAATAAAAGTTTCTGGAAAAACACTGAACAATCCCAAAGACTTCCGAAAGATTTCTAAAAAATTCCGAAAATCACAAAAAATTCCGGAGAATAAATAATTCAGGAAAACTAAATCACGAAGAATAACCAAAAAAAAACTGAAAGCCCGAGAAGATAATAAGAAAGCGCGAAATATTCGGAATATTCAGAAGAATCCAATATAAAAGTTTCCGGAAAAAGAGAAAAAACACCGAAAATCGGAAATACTTTCCAAAAATCTCGAAAAAGACTAAAAATTCAGAAACATTCCGGAAATTAAATAAATCAGCCTATGTATATCACCAAAAAAAAAACAAAATGCTCGAGAAGATAAAAAAAAAGCATGAAGTATTCTAAAAGTGCAGAAGAATCCAAAAAAAAAACGAAAAACCTCGAAAAATCTCTAAGCTTCCCGAAAACTCCGAAAAACTTAAAAAATATCGAAAAATCCGAAAGACTACCGAAAAATCATGCACAAAACTGAAAATCGCAAAAGATTACGGGAAATAAATAAATCGGGAAAAATAAACCGCAAAGAATAACGAAAAGTCTAGCAAAAAATCAGAACAAAAGCTCTCCAAACGCCATAGAAATTTCCGAAAAATCGTCTAAATTTTCAAGAAAATAGAAAAAAATAAAACAAGAACAAGGCTGAGGCCGGAAAAAAACCTGGCTATTCTAAAACCAACAGCCGAGAAGCTCCCGAAGAGTTTCGAGTAATTCTGAAAAAAATTAAAAGTACTAAAATTTCTAAATTTCATGCGAAAAATAAAAAGAGCACGAATAATTAAAAAGCCTAAAATGAATCCAAAAAAAAAAAAATTATAAAAAAAAACTAAACAAATACAGGAAATTCCGATGTTAAATTTAAAAAAAATAAAACGCAAAGTCCACAAAAAAATCGGAAACATCCCAATATAAATGCAAAAGTCTTCCGAAAAGTCACAAACAACCCAAACAGTGCCGAAAATTTCTGAAAAATCTTTAGAAAATCAAAATAGAGCAAGAAGAATTCTGAAAACAATGAGGAGGACACCGAAAAAAGTCTAAAAAAAATCAGAAAAAAAAAACAAAAACTCCCAAAGAAAATTCAAAAATGTGCAACAAGAATAATTCTAATAAAGCCCCGTAAATTTTCTGAATAGTCCCGAAAAAAGCTCAAAATATCTTCAAACGCCATGAGGAAAACAAAGAAATCACGAATAACACAATTAACAATGTCCATAAAAAACAATTATTGTATTCTTTTTTTTATACTTAACTCTTATGAGCGAGCCTATTTAATTATGTGATGAATTAAAGTTTTACATTGCATTGCCTACGTTAATTAAACTATTTAGTTTAAAATTTACTCATGCTTCTTCTCGAACAACCAAGACCGCAACCGACCTAATCTAAACAACTTCTGCTTTCAATACACTCTTTCATTAGAAGGTTGAGAAGTGCACACAATGGGGACAAACGAATGAAATAACTGCACTTAAACTTTGAACACTACCAAAATATGTGGCTTTTTTTTAATTTAAAGTTACTTCCTAATAGCTTTTTAAAATCAACAAATATTCGAGTGTAGTGCTATCTGAAAAAGATAATCTGACAAAAGTCTGCAGAAACTTGTAAACAACTTGAAAATTCCATAGAAATCAAAATATCGTAAAATACGCTTCCGAGAGTTTTTTTCATATTTTTATCTGAAAACCTGCGTTAAATCGAAAATCCCAAGGAGCTTAAAGGGTTGTGAAATCTTTCTTCGCACTAATATGACTTTAAATAAAAGTTTCAAGAAACTTAAAAACAGGAGAAAGCTTCCAATCGAAAGCTTTTACATGATTCTTATCGGAAAAACTGTTTAAAACCGAAAATCTCAAGGCACGTACAAGATTGCTAAAGGTCTCTCTGTAAACTAAAATTACTTTAAGTAAACTTTCCAAGGTTTCTTCATACCTCAGTCAAAACAAAACGAAAATCGTTTGTTGTAAATTGTTGTAAATGTCATAAATGCCACCTTTCTAGCACTTTTTTTTTGTAGTTAGCGCGCTTGTATCATTGCTTTCGACCAAGCTTAGAACAAAAATTGTGAAAGCGCTGCCATTGATGAGCTTTCACTCCATACAAAAGCTGTGTAGACTTCAACAAACGAAACTTGTGAAAGATTAGTTTCAGTTTCCTTAAGTGGATGGCAACGATATCAGTTATAGTACCTAGAAAAAAAGCAATATATCCATGGTCTTCTGCAATAACGGCAGAACTCAAAATTTCACGTTTTTTTTTCAGTTATATAGCTGATTCGGTTTATAAATAACCATATTTTTCTGTGACAAATCGACATACGACTCATGTCATGTAATTAAGTATTTAAGACTTTTTCATTTGCCTTAATTTAGAAAATCTTTCACCTGCTCCATTAATTATTTCCTTTTCTAATTCACAACTGTGTTGAGAATATCCTACCAAATTTGCCTTACTTATTATCATTTCGAGCCCTAACCGCCGAAGTAAGTGACATTTTATTCAAAACTTTTTTTTTTTTATGCAGAAGTATTCCTATAGTAGATGCTTTGCATTTCTGCATCAAAAGTCAAATTATTAAAAAAAAAAATCACTTACGTCTTTTTGGCTGTTAAAGCTCGATTTCTTCCTTTAAATCAAACTTTTCTACCTTCCTTTCTCGTTGTTCATTTCCCTTGCATGCCATTTTAAAGCATACAAATTATACAAATGAATGCATTTAAATATTCAAGACTTCCTCCAGCAACCCGCGTTATGATTTTAATATTTTATATATTTTGTGCAACTCAAACTTGAATGAGAAACTTTTACCAACTCGTTGACTCATTTTAATGCACGCTTCATACACACGTAAATAGTTGTTGTTTACAGTTATCGTGAAAGCAGTGATGCATTAGAAATTAGTGAACAACTATAAAAGCTTGTATGTACACAATAATGATGGATGGTTGAGTAATTGAATCGAAAAGATGTGATTTTTAAAGACAGACACTCGGTCGTAGTAGAATAATATTTATTTCTGTAATAGCGAATATTGGTGTGTTTTCCAAAATGAGGAAGAAAAATAAATACATACTAATAGCGCTTTCTTTTCTACAAAAAATTTTGCCTTTTCCTTGCCCTCTCACTAGTATTTGTGCGAAGAGAGCACTGAGAAGGCAAAACATTTTTCGGTAAAAAGAAAACGCCATAAATTGTGAAAAACGTGCATGCAATCGGTTAAACAATTTGACGAAAGGTAAAGGAGAAGCGATGAATGGGAGTAAAAGATGTAGAAAGATTGTAAGTGTATTAATTACTTTAAAATATAGTTTTTCGAAGAAAAAACCTTTTAATAAATTAGGAAAGTTGTGGGTAAACTTATGTATTGGAATGAAGCTTTTTCAAGAAACCAAAGAGGCAAATTGTCAAGAAGTTCGAAAGCTTTGTTTCAAAAAGCTTTTCTGAAGAAGTTTATGTTAGAGCTTTTACGTGTTTTATAATATTTCTTTTTAGTCTATTTTAATCTTTTCTAAATGCTTTCTTTCGCATTTTTTTACAGGATCCTAAAATTCTCGATAAAGTGACAAAAAAGAATGGCACCGATATGGTGGCATTGGACAAACGTTCACTGACAATATGTTCGAATACAGATTATATAAATATAACATATCACCATGTTATTTGTCCGGATGCGGCTGCGGCAAAGGTGAGTTGAGAAAAAGTTTTCAGAGAAATTATTTTTTTATTAACTTAAAAATTTTATTAAATAATACTTTTAGACAGAAAGAACTTTTAAAAAGCTTGACACGGTCGTCTTTGAGATGGCTAACTCGTGTACAAAATCAGCAGAAACATTTTGTACTTTGGTAGAAACTTTTACAGCAGAGTACTTTAGCCAATTAACATGTAGATCTTTTTAAAGCTCATTTCAAAGCGCATTTTATATAGACAGATGCAGTGTGAAAGTTTTCTCCGACCAATACTGCTTAATGGATATATTCTCAAAAGGTTAAACGTTTAGATGGAATTAAATCAGTATTGCTCAGTGGAAGCTTTTACCCGGAGTCTATCCACAAATGAATAAAAGAGACAAAGGAAATCAAAATTATTCTTTTTTAAACTTCGTAAATCTTTTGTGAAGCTACAATTAAAAGTTTTGATTCATTTAAAGCAGTAAATCAGCGAGCATGTGTTTCTGTCACCTTCAGTGCATACGTTTGGCAAAAAGCATCTTAAAGCTTCGAAAATCCACCACAAAAACCGCGAAAGCTTCGAACTTATACTAATTACTAAATAAAGTATTAAAGAGCCCCAAATAAAAGCTTAAGAAACTTCTACACAGCAAGGTCTTGATAGTTTTTATAAAAAAGTGGCCCTTTTAAATCAATATTTTTACATTATTTCAGAAAGCTCTAAATATGTATACATATGTAGCAGAGAAAGCTGGGTCAATATCAATTCAAAATGCTAGAATTTCTCAAATCCATAAAAATATCTAGAATTTGTGTTATATATTTACTAATAACCACTAATAACCACCTTTAACCACTCTACCCGGCCACAGAGACTAAATACTCCCAAATAAAAGATTGAAAAATTACCAGAAAATGTAGTTTTAAACCCTTAATTCCAAGCTTTCAAAGATTTTTTTTTTTAAGTTGTCAAATTCAGACCATAGCTATTTTTGAAACTTTGAGATTGTGTCTGCTATTTTAAAAAGTTTCGGAAAGCTTTTAATAAAGAGTGAAAGCTTTACCTAACATTAATTTAAAATACTAAAGCTTTAAAAAACGACAACATAAACTTTCCAACTTTTGTAAATTATTCGTAAAACGTTGAAGCCATGAAAAAATCCAGCGGAAAGCTACAAATGCTTCTCAGAAATTATAGAACTTACGAGGTGAAGTTGCAAAGAAGTAAATCAAGCACCCAGCTTTGTAGCACGTAATCGTATTTTGAGTTTGCTTAAGTTTTTATCAAAGGCATTTTACAAAATGTGTGAAAGTCGAAACAAAAAATGTGAAAGCTTCAATGCAAAGAGACAGTATTGCAACTCGTTTGATATACAATTACTATAAATTAACTTTTTCAGATAATGCGGCTAGCAATAAGAGCTTTCACTTTGGTAGCGAGCTTTCATGAAGACTTACACCATACATTATTCTTCAATATCTTGAAAGCCAACCTAAATTATTTTAAGGTCATGTAACAATTTCACAACGTACATAAGCTTTATATTAAGCTTTCACATGCACTTCAAAACTGTTACTCATTTTCATTTGCTATAAGCCTTAACAATTCTCTCCGATAACGCACAATAAGAAGCCACAAGAGATTTGAATGATAACAAACTACTACACGTTCATAGAGCAGCAGTTAGCAACAACAGTTTAATAGTTTAAAGCCATTCCATTGATTCTTAATACGAGCAGCTTACTGACTTAAGCACTCATATCTCCAATGTTTGCGCTAACTTAAAGCACTCATATTTGCTTCCTCTCTCTCTTTGTTTTTCTTTTCCCTCAATTATGCACATTATCTTGCAAAATTTTCCTACCGAAATTCAAGCAAACCAACTAAACTTTTCGTAACTGCTAAGATAAACTTTTCAACTTCAACTGCCTCTGAAAAGTCTATACTACATAAACACATACTCGTATGTATGTATGTATGTCTTTCGCATGAAGTTTTCTTTCCATATTGTGCAATTGTGAATTTTATTAAAAGCAAATGCAATACTTGAATTATCTTGTTCGGGTGGCAATTCACTACAGTGGCGGATACAGGACTTTTTTTATTATTTTTTTTCATCTAGTGTATTATTTTCCCCAATTTTAGATGGAAGTAATAACTTCAAATCAAAAATATTCAATTTCTCTTTCGGCAATCCTTCTCGGAGGTCAAGCAAAGTATTATTCAATTGCGGTATAAATATTGCCTTTCGATTCAAATCTTCAGCGTTAGATGCACGATAATTAGCCCGAAAATTTTGTCTATGTGCTCTCAGAGGAAGGACAATGTCAAAATCCAATTCCTTAGCGATATCGGTAACTAACCTGATATGAAATTCATATATTACGTTAATATTAATGCATTAGATATTTTATGGCCCCCAACGCCCCCCTCCCCCCCCCTGTATCCGCTACTGATTGCCTACTGACTACCCCATTCTCTGGCACGTACGCTATCCATCTCCATATTTATCTCACTTCCTCTTCAGTACCATGCTAATAGGCAACTGGGTATACTTTTGCATTTGAGTTAAACTTTAATATTTGCTAAAGGGTTTTTGTAGTGTTTGAAAAGTTTTCACACTTTTGTTACATGCATTTCGAGTTTCGGAACGTGTGATGAGAGTGAGAAGGTGTGAGGTGAATAAGTGTTATGAAATAGTTTAAAGTGCGAAATAATAGCATGCTGTTGTAGTGGAACATAGAAAATTCATGCATATTTATGAAGCAAGCAATTGTGTAGCTAGTTTTCGCTGCAGGGTGGTGGGGTTAAATGCAGTAGTGTCAAAATAAAAAATACAACTCTGGCTATTTTTTAAAGCAAGATTTTAAATTGTGTGCATTAAACAGTACCAGAAAGTAAAATATGCCTATCTTTAGCGACAAGTCAACCCTGTCTCGGGGTCATTTTCAAAAGTCATCCTTGCAGGACAAGCTACTAGCTACTCAGGTTTCGAACTATGGCTGTGACTAAACGTATACTCTGATATGCGTACGTAGATGAAGTGTTAAAAAATGGAACTCTGTTTAAAGAAAAGCCATGAGCTTCGGTTTTTAGCCTTAAAAGGATAATTGCGATGAAATAAGAAGAAATGCAACACTGTTAAAGTAAAAAGTACAACTTTGATTGAAAATTTTTGGAAGCAAGCTATGAAAAATTAAAATGTTTACAAGAAATATTGAATTTTGAAAGTAAATGAACTTCTGGGCGGCAAGTATCGCCCTTGTTAAAAATTAGGCGCGCAAAAATGCAACTCTGCTTACAGAAAAACATTAAAACTGGTTTCCAACTATAAAAATTAGCTGCAATCAATGAAAGAAAGAAAAATACAACCCTGTGAAATTGAAAAAGGCAACTCTGATAAATAAAAGCTATAAAATATGAAAATTTTCTCTTAAAATATTCAGTTTTGAAATTAAATAAATTTTTTAATTAAATTTCTTTTTTCAATTTACTTTAAGATTAAATGCTCGTCAACTGTAAATAATGAACTGTGGCTAAAGAATGAAAGAAAAATACAACCCTGTGAAACTAAAAAGTACAACTCTGTTAGAAACTTTAGAAAACTGGATGTCAAATATGACATAAAAAAAAAATAAATTTTACATAAATATGGCAACTAAAATTTAAAAGAATGTCGTTTTAGTTGTTGTTTGCTAAAATAACACACTTTTGTCAGAATTGGCTTCAAAAGGCTTGTAAAAAGGTAGCCACAATTCAAAAAGAAAATCATAAATTCAACCCTATGAAGGCCAAAAATGCAATTCCAATAAAAATTTTGCAACACAAGCTGAAAATAAACCAATTTTCTCTAGAAAATTACAGTTTGAAAAGCAAATGCAGTTTTTAAACGCATCTTCTTCTGCAATGTAGTATTTGTTTAAAAAGATATCTAAAACAATGCAACCGTGTTAGCAAGAAAAACAACTCTGACTTTAAATTCAAATTTAGAATATTAAATTTTGTATGAAAAAAATTGTATCGTTGGTTGGAAGGAAATGGTGCAAATTTTCTCAAATCTGAGCAGAAAAAGTGCAACTCTGATTGCAAATTGCATAGCAGAACTTTTTTATTTAAAATTTTAGCGTAAAAAATATCGTGCCACAGGGCCATTAAATCATAAAGTCATATAACAAATTGGCTAAACGATGATTGCAACAGTTGGCGACGTATACACACACACATGTGTTTGAATTTCCAGATATGTCAATAGCCAAATCCATACTATGTAAAGCACCCCCCCTACTACTTCCGCCTTCGCATACAAAATCGAGCTGACAGCTCAAGTTCCAATCAAAACCGTTGGCAGTTTTTGGTCATACCATCAGTTTATCTAATGAAACTTGCATCATGATGCAATAAATACTTGCACTCCCATACTACTTGCATACACATGCACATACGAGTCCTTATGTATACACAATTCCCCTGGTTCGTATTCATGGGCTGCCTTTGTGGATCTGACACACATAGCAAACAGACATTTATGTAGAGAGGATAAGCTACAGCAAGAAGAAGATGAAGCGCATTATTTGACATGCAACACTGTGTCCTAAAAACTCAACAAAAAAAAAAAGAAGGCACACCCATACGAACGTGCTTTTGTTGCGTGCGCACAAATACAATTCACAAATACAATACGTTTGTGTACTTTGCTGCTGTGTATTTGGTTGTTGTTTTCGATTTTTATTGCTTTTTATTTTTTTTGTTTGTGTAGCCAAATGACCTTTTAGAATTTTTAATTAAAATTGTAGCTTGTACGAAAATCACATTAAATGCAACAGCTGTTGTCAAAAACAAGACAAGTACAAATTGCAAGCTTACTGTTGCAGAGGAAAGAAATTAGGGCACTCAGAGAACGTGGCTTTTGTAAGCAAAAAACTTTTGAATGCAGTAAAATTAAGCGGTAAATTTAAAAAAAGGTTGATTTTGTAGAAAATTTTTGCAAGTTTGCTACTACATATATTTAATGTCAAACAAAAATAAAAAAAAATGTTATAAAACAAATAAAATTATAAAAATATTAAAAAAATTAAAAAGTTAACCAATTGTAAAAGCACAAAGCTGGAATCAGTTTTGGAAAATTAAAATCATATCTAAAGTAAAAACATTAAAACAGACTTGAAAGTGCTTAATCAATAAATTAATAATAAATATAAAAACAAATTTAAAAAACAGCACAAATAAAAATTTTTAAAAACCCAGAAATAAAAATTTCAAACTTCTTAAAATCGAAGACTTTAAAATTTTTAAAATTTTAGTTAAAAAAAACAGGAAACTTTATAAAGCATCAGCCAAAAAACATAAGCAATTTCAAAATTACTTTTTCGGCGGTTTGGGCTCGATATTACGCAAAAAAAAATGTATTCACAGCTAAAATTAGTTCCAAAAAATAAAAATCATAACTAAACGAAAAATATTAAGACAGACTTTTTAACTACATACATATATACGTATTTCAAGAAAATAGCTTAAAATGTAAAAGATAAACAACAACAAAAATAAAAGACCGCAAACAAAAATTACAACCCGATCTGATGTTACAGTGATATTTTATGAAAAGGAACAAAAATACCAACTCGATTTGAATTTACAGTGATATTTTATGAAAAAGAGTCACGACGTGATTATAACATTACATTATAACTGAAATAAAAAAATTAATATTAAACCATAAAACCAAAAATTTAAATTAATTACAAATGAACTAACAAAAATTCTAAATAAAGGGAATACGAAAACCAAAAAAGAATTTAATCGGAATCAAAAAAATTAACTTCTTTTTCATTTATTAAATAAAAAATTATAACAAAAGCCAGAGCAAGTTGATGCAAAAGAACCAAAAAGTAAAATTAACAAGTAAGAGCAGCGCTGTCTTCGGCTATGCCGAAGGCTTCATACCTTTCATGAACATCTGCAAATTTTACTTTGACAGATTACTGCTTTTGAATACATCTGCATACATCGATAGAGGAGTTACATACTTATATAAAAAATCGCATCTAAACAATCAGAGGTATGGAAGATATACATATATATGGCACCAATCTAAGTGATTTTCACTGCTATGTGATCGGTATGTAAACCGGTAACACAATTTATTGGGTTTAGTTTCCTACATAAAGAAGATATATCGCAAAAACTGGTATCTGAACAATCAGTGGTATAGGAGATAAAGCTTATACAGCATAGATTTTGACGATTTTCTCAGTAGACTTTGTATTATTATTTATAAAATATCTTACGAAATTTATCGGTTTTAGCTGTTCAAATAAAGGAGTTTTACAGTAAAATCCCATATCTGAACAATCAGATGTATGGAAGATACATATATGTTATAGTCACCCGATCCTTGTTATTTTCACTGTAAGTATTCCGTTGATAATGAGCAAAAATGGTGCGAAATTTCATGTTCCTAGCTGCATAAATGGAGGAGTTATGATAAAAGACCTCATATCTGAACAATCAGTTGTATGGGGGCTACAGGTTATAGTGACCCGATCTTTGTTATTTTCACTGTAAGTCTTCTGTTGATAATGAGTGAAAACAGCGCGAAATTTCATGGTCTTAGCTACATAAATGGATGAATTATAACGAAAAATCTCATATCTGAACAATCAGTTGTATGGGAGCTATAGGTTATAGTTACCCGATCTTTTTAATTTTCACTGTAAGTTTTCTGTTGATAATTATTGAAAACAGTGCGGAATTTCATGTTACTAGCTATATAAATGGAGGAGTTATAACAAAAAATTTTATATCTGAACAATCAGTTGTATGGGAGCTATAGGTTATAGTGACCCGATCTTTGTAATTTTCACTGTAAGTATTCTGTTGATAATGGGTGCAAGTACTGCAAAATTTCATGTTCGTAGCTGCATAAATGCAGAAGTTATAACGAAAAATCTCATATCTGAACAAACAGTTGTATGGGAGCTATATGTTATAGTGGTCCGATTCTTCCGGGTTCCAACAAATGATTAATACATTATAAAAATACACCCACCTACCAAATTTGATCCGGATATCTCGAAAACTGAGAGACTAGATTGCATACAAACAGACAGACAGACGGACAGACGGACATGGCTAAATCAACTCAGCTCGACGTTCTGATCATATAAGTATACATTTTAATGGGTCTATCTCTTTTTGTTCTGGTACTTACAAACATCGGACCAAAGTTATAATACCATTTCATGCTCATGAAAGGTATAAAAACAAAAACAGCAATAAAATAAAAACCAAAAAAGAATGAAAATACAAAACAATTAATTTATATTTAAGCCCAGAGGATTTTTTCTTAAATTATCATTAAAAGTTAAAAAAAAAATACATCTCGCCAAAAGGATAGCTCTGATTCAAAATTTTAAATAAAAACCGCTTTCTGACGGCCAATATTTTACACTCATTTCTAATTTAATTTGGTTTTGATTGAAATTGCACCCAAAAAAATAATAAAAAGTAGATATTTGGCAAAAGTCGACCGGGAAAAACTAAAAAGTGGGTGAAAAAAATTGTGATTCTATTTAAATCGGACATTGAGCTCACTAAGAGAAAGCAATATTAAAATAATAAAAAAAAACATTAAAAATTAAAATTAAGAAAAATTATACTTATACAACAATCTAAGAAAATTTTCATCTCATCTACATACATATTTTCATTTTAGATCTGGTTAGATGGCATACGAAAAATCACACATAATGTTAAAGCGAATAATATTTGTCCAATGATGTGTTTAAAAAAACAGTAAGTGGAAAAAGAGTGTCAATTATGTTACTAAATAATGTTAAGCATGTAATTCAAACAGTAACTAGCAAAATTTTTTAACGTTTTGCATGATTTTAAAAGCCTTAAAAACAATTTTGTGTTTCTCTGTCCTGTTCTAAAATGCTTTCTTATTATTATTCTACATTGAGGCATGTTTATCTCCGTCTTCCTGCTCTAACACAGTGAAACTACTCAGAAATTCAAAAATTCACTCTACTCACATATTTCTTCTTTACTAACTTTTGTCTCTCAAAATTGTTGTCTCTGTTTACTTAAAAATGTTTTCATATATTTGTCTCTTTCTGCCGTATAAATATGTTTTTCAATTGTCTAATTTGCATATTGTTTTTCATTGTTTTCTTTATTATTCTAATAACTTATATTCTGCAAATTTCTTTTACTCTGCATGTCTGCACACTTTATTTGTACACTTTAAATGAAATTGTATATTACTTGAAACAATATGAAAAACTTAAAAAAATAAGCGCTGGCAAGATGGGTTACGTTTTATAACACACAATAATAAAGCTACTAATGTGTGCCCGAGAACTAATCTTATGAAACAGTAAGTATGTAAGAAAAGTAGTAGTGTCTTTGAAGTCATTGCCGAGATTTACGTAAGAATCATATAAATTTTTAGGAAAATGTAAACCAAGGTAAGTAAACAATATTTAATGCAAAATTTAGAGTTAATTAAAATTACTACTATCTAACACAATAGTTTTTTCCACCATGTTATAGTTTGATTTTTTCATGGTCAATAAGCCGATTTTAAGAAATGTGATTCAAGTTGAACATTCTGTAGAGATGCTTGTTGTTATTTGCTAATCCCGTCAGAGGCCACATGTTAAAATGATAATAGAAATTTTTGTTTTGTATCTCCGGATTTGTGAAAAGCATCTGTGAAATGCAGAACATGAACGTATTCAAACGAAAAATCGCCAACCAAAAGTTTGATTAATGTAAACAAAATTGTGGTTAATATTACCAAATCATTGCTGAAAATATCAACCAAGGCATTGGTAATATTAACCAAAAATCATGTTGATATTAATCTATTTTTGGTTGATTACTTATGGGCTACAGTTTTGCTTTTGTCACTTAATCTATTTGGAGGCTTCTTTAATGAGGTCTCACCGCTTTAGAAAACGATCCCTGAGCAACCTTGCCTATGAGTGTGTATTTTTTCCTTCCTCTTTATACTAAAGGAGTATTTTCTCTCTCTTTTAAAAAATTCCAACTATTTAGTAGTAAGCAACGATTTATAGCTGTGTAATCATTTCCTTCCTAGCTTTACGAAAACCAAACTCGTTCTCAGGTAGGCCATTTAGTCTCTTGACAATGTTCCTTAAGAATCCCTGTTCTGGCTCAAGCTCCTACCGATTATGGGAAGCCTTCTGTTGTAATTACTTAACAGTATCGGCCACGAAATCTGTGAGGGCATTGATCCTCTAACCTTTACAGTTTTGAGCGTGAGGCACGAGGCGTCGATGTAGATCAAGCGGAGTGTGGTCCAGGCAGATGGAGCGGGCTTTCTGGGAACTCCTTCTTGTTTGGTGTACATTTTCCTACCAGTTCGTCATTGCTCGCTAGATCTTCACAGTATGTTTAGGTATGTATACGGTAATCATAAGCCGTATTTCTTTCGTAATGTCGTTCATTCTAGAAGGCTTGAATGTTGAAAGACGTTTGCTCTAAGCCTTCTGTTACATTAGGTGTCGTGAGTGTCCTCAAAGAGCATTGTATGGATGCACAATTAGGCGGGCTTTATCGCACCAGTTGGAAGGCCAGATGTGTCGTATCATCCTCCAGTCTTCTTCCCATTCGCTTCTAAAGGGTGTCACTGCGTCGAAATAATTCGCCACAGCAAAAGGCAAAACTGTTTAGTTAAGCATTTAAAGTTTTCGAGAAGCTTTTCCATAGTCCCCGAAAGCCCAAAACCCATTATATTAACGGCGTTAAAGACCTCTAGCGATTTTGTTGAACTTAGTTAGCTTATTCCATATAATAGATTTATACACGGACGGCCGAAAGACTATAATGTTGTATAGCAAACTCGGACATACAACTACTGCTATTCCTTAGTGGCGTCTCACACGCTCCAGTTCCAGGTTAATCGGCAGCAAGATTGATGGCTCGAAGCATATGGGTAGTTATTAAGGCTTTCATATGAGCCGGTACTAAGTTTCATACATTAATGCCGGCACACCGGTGACCGAAACGTGTGGAACCGCAATTAGGAAAAAAGTTTCGGTTAGAGCTTCACCGCTTATTTAGTGTATTTTAATTTCTACTTCAACTTTGGTTTTACACAGTTAACAACGCATTGAAATATCTGACGGTTGTAAGTGGATGTTTCCTCTAAGTAATCTATGGTCATCTTAAAAGGAGTATAATAACTGATAATATATCTGTAATGCCATCTTGTGAAACCAATCTTACAATTGTCCATTTCGTCGCTTTTTCCGACATATCCGATAACCGGCAGGCGATTTCTTGATTGCTGTACAATATTATTCGAATTGTCGTGCGCGGATGGGTTCAATTACTTTTTCCTGATTTTGACAAATCTATCGAAACCTAATCATACTTAACTTAACTTCTCTAAATAGTCAACCACTTATTTCAGTTAGTTTCACGCAATATTCCACTTCTGAAAGCACTAGTCCAGACACGCTTATCAAAGCAACGAAGAGCGTAGGGAGATTGCGGCAGGAGGGTTCAGCTGCTCCCCTTAAAAACTTACAAGACGAAGTTGAATTTGAAAAAAAACATAAAAGTAATAAATAGAAAATACAAAATTGTGTGCGATTTGGTAACTGTGCTCTCCATTTCCACATGATGATTGCGTTGAACATTGAAGCTAGCGCAGCGTTCTCCTTCGTCAAACTCGCCACCTATGACGCCATTCTTTTTTTTCTGATGAAATTTTCGCGCTGCATTCCTGACTGCAAGCATCTCAAACTCACTTTCTACCTCTCTTTTCTGCATGGCGGCTTGGAATGATGCGTATTACTCTGCAGCACTTTTCTTCATACCAGCTGTGCCTGTGTAGGTATAAGTAGCCAACCGCAATGGCACGCCGAGATTGGGAGATCGGTTCCCACTGCTCACTTATATCCGGTTGATGAGAAATTTCTTGTTTAAGCAGAGTCGATTGCGAAAAATCTGGGGTGTCGTTTGTGAGTGTAGCTTTTCGATGTCGAACTTTCGTCTGTTCCCTCTTTGATCAGGGGACTGGTTTTATAGCTGTTTCGATGCTGGTGGGATAGAGGCAGCTTTCCAAGCGTATATCCGTAAAGCGTAGTGTTTGTTTCGTGTGGTGGATCGTCAAAGTTTTGGGGGCAATTAATCGAGGCTGTTTTTATTTTAAATTAGATCCATACTTTGCCTTACGGGTCGCAATCCCAGTCCACAGCCCATTACTGGAAAATTTTTTAAAGAAGCTCACTTATGTATATAGCGAGCCGCTTCCTCCAAGACAACAGACATCCGCTTGTAGCCGAATCTAAAGCTGAACAGACGCTGCTGACTTGAGCCCCTAAACCGAATAAGTCGAAGCGTCCCCACCGAAACCTCCTTCTGTCGTGAACTAGGGCTTCACACGAGCACATTTCCCAGAGTGCACGAACGGGGACGCAAGAGTTGCTATTGAGAATATAATTGAAAAGTTTGCTGATTGAAAATCCGAGGCGAGCATAAAAATGTTTGATCCCCGATACGCCCCTGCAAGCAACATTATCTATTCCTTTTCAACAAACAAAATAATTTCAGTGGGTGTTTTATAATTCCTTGCCGTTCAATTTCAACATAGTTCTCTCTCTCTCTCTCTTTATCTGTTAATCTTTATACGCTGTTCAAAATATCAAAGACAAAGAAAAACAACACTTAAGTAATAAATAGGCCGAAAGAAAGAGAAAAAAATCTCTAAAGTAAACAGAAATAAGAAGCAATGCTGGCGCATGTTAGAGGAGACATAACAAAAGCTGCTTCGCTATGGTTTTGTCTATCCTGTGCATTTGCGCGCTTTGTGTCAATAAGTTGTAGAAGGTACAAGAACTGTCTTTTTATTAAATCAGTTTAAAGAGCACAAAAATTACTGTAGAGAGAAGCATTAAATCAGAAAAGAAGAAAGGCGTGTAAACAAAAATAGGGAAGGACCATAGACGCTTTTAAATAGAAAAACGCGACTAAGCTAGATCAACGCATATTGCTTTAAATAAGGGGTATTCTCTGAGTCTTGCAAAGCCCTTGCATGGTGCACAGATTGCACGGATTGCACGGTAAAAACCGGTTTTCGTATGGGACAGCTTTGCAAACCGTGCAATCCGTGCACCGTGCAAGGGCTTTGCAAGACTCAGAGAATACCCCTATAGAAAAAGAGGAAGAGGAAAGGCAAATCACAAAAAAAAAATTGGGAAACAATTGCTTTTTAATCCGCCTCAATATCCTTTAAGGTATCAGCTGTCAGAGTGTTTGCCTTACTGACTTATTGCCACGCTTCTACATATACGCCCACCGCCGCCACAAATTTATGCAGCATAATTGTTTCAGTGTTGCCACTTGCGTATATTTTTAGAAACCAAAACGCCTACCAAATCAGTTTCCAAATTACCAAAAATTGTTTTATCATTAAAACGAGATTTCTTGAATTAACGGATTTTTTAACTACACAAATTAGCAGTGTTGGTTAAGAGTCCTGTTACACGGTATGTATTTCCATATGTGAATGTTACTTTTCGTAACATTTTCGTATTTTCGAGATTAATTCAATGCATATCAAGCATTTTTCATGTATGAAAAAATTCAGACATTTTGTTAATTTAAATAAAAAAATGCATTTTAATTTGCATACACTCGCCCTTTTTTAACACAAAACACTCACACTTTGCAAATTACCTATCAGCATCTTTTCTCACAAGAAAGGCAACTTTTCGTTAAATTTCACAGCTGATCGATCATAGCTATGGGAAGTGAGT